GAAGTCATCACCATCCCTTGAGAGAGCTCACAGGATAAGTATTTTTCTTAAATACTATTAATTTTTGGATTGAAAACACTTGACGCAGTAATTTCTTGGCACCTGTGGATAAACCAGTTGTGAAAAATACATACAGGACACACACTCCTTCCGTGGAGAACAGCACAAGGTCAACACCTGCACTGAACCACAGCTCAGCACGAGGTGTTACAGAGGATGAAAAGCCAATCAAGTGGTTTGCTGTCACTCAGCAGCAAAGCTCCTCCCTCAGAAATCTCCCTGAAGAGCTCCACTTAGGATTTGCCAGAAGTTTGGCAAAGCAAGGAAGCCACTAGAGGATGCTGTGGTTCTGTTGTGATCCAAGGTGTATCACACGAAGGATTTCTTAGGACAGATGGGGAACTTTAAGGAACTTTAAGATGCTAATGATTGGACTCAATGATCTTGGAGGTTTCCTCCAGCCTTGATGGTTCTATGACTCTATGAATACTTCTATTCAACAGCAGAAAGAGGAGGTTTGTACACAGGACTCCTGCAAATTCTCCTTTCCATGAGAATAAAAAAAACAGATCAGTGAGCCTGGAAAAGCATTTAATATATTGTGGTTTTGATCAGCAAACCACCAAGAAAATGGCTGTTTTCATGTGTAATCTCTTTCTTTAGAAGTACATTAATTCCATCATTGTGAACTATTAAATCCACTCATCAGCTTAATATGCAAAAGCAAAACTGCACTGATAATCCAAACCCAAACATTTAAGCTGTGATATTCAGCAAATTCAAGGATTGATGCACATCATTAGGCAATTCAGTAATCAATTACTTATTGTTCCCTTCCATTTTCTACATTGTTAAACTAGAATGTCTCCAATATACTAATTTCTATCGATTCATTTTATCCTTCAGTACTCAACCAACCACCATCGGAGCAAACAATCTCAGAAGCTCCAAGTCTTCTTCTACATAATTAAAAGGTCTAGAAAGGTCGAGAACACATGAGGAAGGGCTGAGGGAGTTGGGTTTGTTTAGCCTGGAGAAGAGGCTCAGGGGTGACCTCCTGGCTCTCTGCAACTCCCTGCCAGGGCTGGAGAGAGGTGGGGGATGTGTGTCCTGCCATGGCTGCAGGGAGAGGACTAGAGGGAATGGCCTTGAGCTGAGCCAGGGCAGAGTCAGATTGGATGTGAGGAGAAATGTTCTCCCTGTGAGGATGTTCAGCCACTGGAATAGATTGCCTAGGGAGGTGGTGGAGTCACCATCCCTGGAAGTGTTGAAGAGGCATCTGGATCTGACCCTGGAGGATCTGGTTTAGGGTTTAGGGGTTCCAACAGTGACACGTTAATGGTTGGACTTGATGATCTTAGAGGTCTCCTCCAACCTGATGATTCTACGATGCTAGGACTGCTTGAAATAACATCACACTCTCAATATCTGATTCTGAAAGCTTATTAAGTGTGTACAACTTCACAGTTTAGCATAGTTTTCCACTTCAAAGAGCCATGTTGGTTCTGTTCCTTCCCAATGGCTGAAGAAACCCCTAAACACACAACAGATACAACCTTTATCCTTTACACATTACAACAAAACCAACAATGATTTTACAAAGTAGTACTGTCCTAACTTAAGATCTTTCCAGAGATCAAAGTCTGCAGGACAAATGAGTGAATCTGTTCATCTGAACTCTGGAAGATGGAGTGGAGATCCCATGGAGATCCCAACCATCACCCAGGTTTTGTCTCAGCACATTGTTCAGAACTTCTAAGGAAAAGAAACCAACTCATGGGCTCAACTCATCCAAAATTCAAGTGAAGTTAGCTTTGGCCTGCTATGAGATCAACAGCAGCCAGAAGGTCTGGGAAGTCTGTTTTTGTTTTGTTTACAAGGAAAAGCTGAAAAGCACTTTGAGTGCCCTCAGCCTGAACACGAGTAAATTGGGAAGTATCTTTTGTTGGGACTGAAGTTCATCTGAAACAAAACTTACTAAAAACACAGAGAATTTCAGTTATTACAAAATCCCTTAGTGCAGACTATCAGGGAATAATTTACTGTCTCACCAACAAGCTAATACTTGAGGTTTCTAAAGTTGGGCACTAGAAAAATCAACATGCTTACAACAGAGATATTTTCTTCCACAGCTTTTCAGCCTTGCAACTCGATTCCATAATAAAAACTGGCATAGTTATTCACTGAGCAGGAAAACCTGCAAGGTGAATTCGGATTGAAGGACAAGGATTTACAAAAGCAAGAAGTTTGGCTGAAGAAAACAAGATTCAACAAGTACAAGTGCTATGTATATCAAGTTTAACCCAAGAGAAAAGTCACCCCACACTAACTGAAGTACATATGGGGAAGAGAAAAGTGGTTTTGTGCTTGCTCCTAGGTACTGAGCCCATTTTAAGTATACTCCCTGAAAAAGGGCTGAAAGACGACCAAAAAGGATGGAGGGAGGTGGAAAAAGAGGTATGTGCTAAAAGGTTACTCCTCAGAGCAGAAATCTTCAGCTGCAAACAGCAGATTAAGCATATCAGACTGAGGGACAGGACTGGGTTTAATAGGAGATGGGGGTGTCAAACACACAACAATGGTTAAAGAATGGGATAGTCAGACAAAGAGACAATTTGGAGACTGGCTGGGAGAGAAAATCAGATGGAAGGTGGCAGAGTAAGAGATGAGACAGAGAAACTGGGAGTCACTGAAAAACTACAGGCAATGCAACTGCTGAGAACCTGAGAGAGCTTTAACAGGACAAGGAGATTGAACCCTGTGAGAAAGGAAAAACACAGGAAATGGGAAAAAATACAATCTGCTCTAAACTACAACTTAAAGGGGAAATAAGTTGGGACTCATACTGAGAAGTTCAAACTGAACTGGGAAAGAAGCATCAAAGACAGAATCCGAAAACTGAGAAACTGGGAAGGAAAAGTATTCCCCACAGAGTCCATTTCCACCTAGAGCATGTCAAAGGTGGTGCTGAGTAGTTGGACTTGATGATCTTCGAGGTCTTTTCCAACCTTCACAATTCTGTGACTGTAGGATCAGGAAGATGCCTCAGCTGCCTAGAGGCAAAGCCTCCCAGCAAACCACCACCCACCTTGATCCATACAGAATGACAATCCCACTCGTGCCAAGCAATTCTGCTGTGTGACACTTCACTGACAACACAGGGGTTGGTTTTTTTGTTTGCCTTATTTTAATACCAGGAAGCAGCAGAAAATGAGCACAGCTACAAAGTGGACTAAGGCTCATAATCCGAAATAAACCATCTTATTTTAAGGCTGCTTAATCATAGAGTCATAGAATTTAAGGGTTGGAATGGAGCTTAGAGATCATCCAGCCCCAAACTTCTGCCTTGGGCAGGGACACCTCCCACCACACCAGGTTGCTCAAGGCTTCATCCAACCTGGCTGTGAACACTGCCAGGGTTGGGGCAGCCACAGCTTTTTCCCAATACTTAACCTAAATTTCCCCTCCTTCAATTTGTGCCCATTGCTCCTTGTCCTGTCCCTGCAGTTCCTAACACAGAGTCCCTCTGCAGCTTCCCTGGAGCCCCTTCAGCTCCTGGAAGGTGCTCTGAGGTCTCCACACAACCTTCTCTTCTCCAGGCTCAACAGCCCCAACTCCCTCAGCCTGTCCTCATAGGGGAAATGCTCCAGTCCTCTTAGCAATTTTGTGGCCTCCTCTGGACTTGCTCCAACACTTCCATGTCCTTACGTTGAGGACACCAGAACTGTGTGCAGTATTCCAGGTGGGTCTCACCAAAACAGAGGGGAAGAATTACCTCCCTTGACCTGCAGCCCACAAACAGACCATTAAACAACCTCAATTCTCCTTTCACACCTATCCATAAGCAAATGCCATTTCTAAAAAGAAATAATAAACTGCTTTTCCCATTAGATTCTCATCTCATGGAGGAACT